GGGAAGGAGAAAATGGAATTATCTTTTGGAGGGTGGACCCCTTATAGTATACTCAGAATTTGTTCCTCTGGATCAAAAGGTCAACCAAAATTTTAACTACCTGTTTTGAATGTTCCTCTTTATGGAACTATTTCAACCAATAAATAAAGAATTGGAATATAAGCATTCTGTAACTCTCAATAAATTAGTAGAATCAGGTAATCATCACTAATAAGGAAGACAAGCAGACAGTATAGCATGTGTTTCTTTATTAAAATATGTAAGGATACTTGCCCCCCCCCAAAAAGCTAATCCTAAATCTAATCAAGCTTCTAGGTCAGAGGTGGGTTTTTGGTAAAGAGAGAGAATTGATGGTTTAGCTTTTGCATGGCATAGTGCTGCTGTGACAAGAACTCAACTGTGTTCTTGTGGCACCGAAGCAGCCATGGACGATGCTTAAATAAGTGACTGTATTCCCATCAACTTTTACTTATACAAACAAGCAGTAGGCAGAATTTGGCCCCTAAGCTTTATTTTCCCAAGCTGCATCCCAGTTTGGGATTATAGGCATGAACCACTGCACTGAACTTGTTTCTATTTTCTCCTCTGTAAGTAAGTACCTCTACTTGTCAAAGAATAGGCAGAAACGGAAAAAATGGAATGGGGGGGAGTAGACTCCTTGGGGGAGAAGTGTTGACAGAAACAAAAAACAAGCAAAGGAAGGAGGAGAAAGAGAAGCAGGAGAAGAGATCTATAGCTGGTTTGGTTTCACGGTATAGACAAGATTAAGGAGGTTTCTCCTAAATTTTGTTTCTTACCACTCCTGTCTTTTCTATCAGGCCCATCAACAACATGAAGTCAGGTAACCTCTCAGGGACTGCAGAATTTCTTCTCCTGGGATTGTCGGGGGAGCCAGGGCTACAGTCCACCCTCTTTGGGCTATTCCTGTCCATGTACCTGGTCACGGTACTTGGAAACCTGCTCATCATCCTGGCCATCTTCTCTGACTCCCACCTCCACACCCCCATGTACTTCTTCCTCTCCAACCTGTCCTTGGTTGACATCTGTTTCACCTCTACCACCATCCCCAAGATGCTGCTGAACATCCGGACACAGAGTAAATTCATCAGTTACACAGGCTGCCTCACCCAGGTCTGCTTTGTCCTGGTTTTTGCTGGATTGGAAAATGGAATTCTGGTCATGATGGCCTACGACCGATTTGTGGCCATCTGTCACCCACTGCGGTACAATGTTATCATGAACCCCAAACTCTGTGGGCTATTTGTTCTTCTGTCCTTGTTCATTAGTGTTCTTGATGCTCTGCTACACACTTTGATGGCACTACGGCTGACCTTCTGCACACACCTGGAAATCCCTCACTTTTTCTGTGAACTAGCTCATATTCTCAAGGTCGCCTGCTCTGATACCCTCATCAATAACATCCTGGTATATTTAGTGACCAGTCTGTTAGGTGTGGTTCCTCTCACTGGGATAATTTTCTCTTACACTCGAATTGTCTCCTCTGTCTTGAAAATCCCATCAGCTGGTGGAAAGTATAAAGCTTTCTCCATCTGTGGGTCACACCTAATCGTTGTTTCCTTGTTCTATGGGATAGGTTTTGGGGTATACCTTAGTTCTGCAGCTACTCACTCCTCCAGGAAGAGTGTAGTAGCATCGGTGATGTATACCGTGGTCACTCCAATGATGAACCCTTTTATCTACAGCCTGAGGAACAAGGACATGTTGGGGGCTTTGAGAAAACTCATCTCTAGATCATCTTTCTGTTGATGTCTCAGTTGCACTGGGCTTACACTGCTGGAGTATGCCAGAAAGAAATAAATAATGAGAGATCCAGAAATCCCGTCCAATGTCTTTGAATACATGAGACCAGAGATCAGATGGCTCAGGGTGATAATTTTGGAACCAGACTACCTGGATTTGAATTATTTTTTCTTTTCTTAATTGATGCATAATAGGTGTACATAATTTCAGAGTACATGTGATAATTTAATACATTCATATAAGGTGTAAAGACAAATTGCTATACTTTGGATATTTATCACCTTAAATATTTGTCTTTTCTTTATGCTAGAACCATTTCAGTTCTTCTAGCTATTTTGAAACATACAACAGATTACTGTGAACTAGAGTCACTCTGCTGTTCTACTTAACACTAGGTCTTTTATCTTCTGTCAAACCATATATTTATAGCCATTAATCAATTTCTCTTCATCCACCCCCTCCCTCAGATTTGAATTCTAACTCTGCTATGCCATGGCTCTGTGGCTTTTAACAATTAATTTCAACTCTCTAAGCTCAGTTTTCTCATCTCTAAAGTTGACACAATTCGAGAATTTCATATACTTGGGTAGATTTGAACTATTCAACAATATCAGGGAGGATGCTTTCAGTAGTAATAAGGCAAAAGTCTCAACTCAAATAAAGCCAAATGATGACAACAATGATCTTTCTTTTTTATTTTATTTTATTTTTTAGTCAGGATCTCACTCTGTCACCCAGATTGCAGTGCAGTGGCATGATCACGGCTCACTACAGTCTTGACCTACTGGGCACAAGCAATCTTCCCACTTCAGCCTCACAAAGTGCTGGGATTACAGATACACACAACCATGCCCAGCTAATTTTCTGATTTATTGTAGAGACAAGGTCTTGCTATGTTATTCAGGCTGATCTCAAACTCCTGGACTCAAGTGATCCTCCTGCCTTGGCCTCCCAAAGTGCTGGGATTACAGGCATGAGCCACCACATCCAGCTGCGTCATCTTTCTTAATAAAGGGTTTAGATATAGGGTAAGTCCAGGCACAGAATATCAGGGCATTTTACTCCTCCAGTCCCTGACTTCTTCCTTAGGCCCCTTCCCACCACACACACAACTGATGATTGTTGATGGCTGCAGCCATGCAGTGATATTTCAGCTGGAGCCATTAGTCTTAGTGATTAACACAGAGACAGAAACCAAATACTGTGTGTCCTC